GGAGAGAAGGGTTCTATTGCCCAGGCCCCTCGGTCCCCACTGCCCGCATGCAGGAGGTGCTCAGGGGCCATCATCCCAGTTGCTGACCACCATCGGACGCTTCCTTCCCAGGAATCCAGACCATGTCTGCTTCGGTCCAGAGAGCCGTGGCTGTGTCCTCTGGGGACATCCCAGGAGCCCGCGGGGCCATGGAGGGAATCCTCATCCAGCAGGTGTTTGAGTCAGGTACACGGTGCAAGGCCCTGAACCCCCACCCCCCGTTAGCTCTCTGGCGGCCCCAGAGCAGACAGGACAGTGGGCAGCCAGTAGTTCTGCTGGCTCTGGAGGGGCAGGGGCACTGGGGGCCCCCGAGGGGGCAGGGACTCCTGGATGCACAGGCCTGGGAACTTCCGAGAGACCGAAGGGCCATGGCCACGTCCTGGAACCTCTGTCCACTTGGATGGGCCCTTCCGGCGCGCACTCACACCCTTACAACGTCCTTGTTCAAGGGGTCTGAAGTCTTCGGGCGTGCTCGTGCTGCTCAGACCCTCTGGGGGGCCACTCTCTCAGCAGGACGGTCGGTAGCACCCCCAGCACCTCCTCCCTACACCCTCTGTTCTGGGCACTGGCTGGCTTTCCTGAGGACAGCCAGGACCAGCTGGCCCCTCGGAGCTGCTTTGGGACCTGGGCTCTCAGCGAGGATGGGCCCAAGGATCCCACCTTAGTTCCCTGGGTTGTTATGACAAATTCCCACAAACTGGGCAGCTTAAGCACCAGACATTTTAAAATCAAGGTGTCAGCAAGGCCACGCTCCGATGGGAGGCTGGAGGGCAGAATGTCTCCTTGCCTCTCCCAGCCCCTGGTGGCTGCTGGCACCCTGGGTCCCTGGCTCCAGCCTCTGCCTCCGTTGTCACAGGGCCTCTTCCATCTGTCTCTCTGTCTTCTCTTCTAGTAAGGACCAGTCATTGGATGTAGGGTCCAGTGTGAGCCTATCTTAACTAATTCCATCTGCAAGACCCTACCTACAAATAAGGCTCCATTCTGATATTCCAGGGAACTGAATTTGCGGGGGGCCATGCTTCACCCAGTATGGTCCCCCAGCAGAGAGCGCTCCTGTGCCCAGGACCGTGGCCCCAGACCTGAGTGGGGGCGGGTGGGGAGAAGCACCCAGGTGCAGCGTTCTGCCCCCCGCCGGCCTCTGGCCTGGGGCCTGCAGAGCGGCTGAGCAGAGCCAGCTGGGTGGGGAGCCTGGCCAGTCAGCATCTCCTCCCAGGTGGCGCCCAGAAGTGCATCCAGGTTGGGGGCGTTTACACGCCCAGCAAGTTTGAGGACCCCGGCGGGGGGAAGAGCAAGGCCCGCAGCGGTGGTGGCCTGAAGACTCTGGTCCGAGCCAAAGGGACCCAGGTTGCTGCCCCTGTAAGTGCTGCCCCACCACCTGCAGGGAGGCCCCTTGCACCGACCCCCTCCACCGGCGTACAGAGTGGCAGCAGCGTCACCTCTGGGTCAGGAGCTCTGCTGGGGGCTGGGGGGGGTCACTGCTGGGCCGCCTGCCCCGTTAGTGACCCTCCCTTCTCCCTTGCAGGCTGGAGGGGACCCAAGGGCAGGCCAGCAGGGCAGGGGCCCGGCCCCTCCTCCCCTCCCCAGCGAGCCCCAGCTCCATCAGGTAACGCCCAGACCACGGAGGTGCCCTTCACCCCATGATGCCCCCCGTGGTCATGCCACTTAGCTACTTGTACAGGGCCCTCACTCCAGCGTCTGCAGGACAAGGTCTAAGCTTCTCTCTACAAGGAAAAACTTTTTCTAATAGTTTTTTTAAATTTATTTTATTTTATGATAATGCACAGTTGTAAAAATTCAAATAAGTCAGGGAAAGTGAGTCCTCCTGAGCTTTTAAAATCGTGGCATTTGGTCCAGGTGCCAGCTGTCCCTTGTTTCACAGTTGGCCCGTGAGTGGGGTGGTTGCCCTTGCTGGGAGCCAGGAGCTCAAGTGTCAAGCATGTCCTTGGGCTCCCAGCACTGTTTCTTTTCTTTTCTAAAAGATTTTATTGGGGAATTGGGGGAGGGGAACAGCCAAGTTGTTGTCCTTCAATCTTAGTTGTGGAGGGCGCAGCTAGCTCAGCTCCAAGTCCAGTCGCCATCCAGCTGCCTGTCAGCAGCTCGCGGACGCTTAGCTCAAGGTGCTGTGTTCAATCTTAGTTGCGGGTGGGCATAGCCCACCATCCCAAGCGGGAGTGAACCGGCAACCTTATTGTTAGGAGGAGCATGTGCTCTCACCAGCTGAGCCATCCTGTCACTTGTTGGCAGCTCAGCATCAGCTTAGCTTGGGTGCAGCTCACTGGCCCATGTGGGAATTGAACTGGCGAAACTATTGCTCAGAGCTCGCGCTCTTAACCAACTGAGCCACTCGGCCGGCCCTGCAGCACCATTTTTTAATGAGGCAGAACTGTCACAGGCGCTGTGCTGGGCCAAGCACCCAGGAGCCAGCAGCACCCAGGCCTGCTCCTGGCTGGGGGGTCCAGAGGGACTGTCACAACGAGCATGCTTACTGCTGTGTGGGGTGCCCAGCTTGGCAGCCCAGGGGCTTCTGGAGGAGGTGGCGTCTAGGAGGGCATGGTGGGCACCATGCAGGCAAGGGCACAGAGAAGCATTGGGTGGAGGGGACAGCAGGTGCCCAGGGCCCACAGGAACACCACCAGGCCTGCCCGTCTGTGGCCCTACAAGGAAGGGGCAGCATGGCGGTGTGCATGCGGCTAGGGACCCCCCAGAAGCACAGGTGCCCACAAGAAACTGGGCTCTCTGAAGACCTGTTCTTCCCAAGAGGGACGGACCAGGAGGTGTATGGGGACACCTTCCATCTCAGAGATAGAAGGGGTGTTGGGGGGACCCAGGACAGGCAGCAGCCGGGAGGGGAGCCGTTCTGGGGCTCTAGGGGCGGGCGTGGCCCCATCCCCCAGCTCCCAGAGGACGCGGTCTCTTCCTGTGTCAGAAGAACGAAGATGAGTGTGCAGTGTGCCGGGACGGCGGGGAGCTCATCTGCTGTGACGGCTGCCCCCGGGCCTTCCACCTGGCCTGCTTGTCCCCGCCACTCCGGGAGATTCCCAGGTGAGCCTCCTTAGCACCCATCCACCGCCACCCGGCTTCACGGGGGTCTCTACCCACTGACCCTGAGCGGGAGGCTGCCCAGAAGCCTTTCCTGTCCACGGATGGGAGGTGAGGCCGGTGGGGGTGGGGAGAGGCTTGCTTGTTTCAGGTCACTGGGCAGGGGAGCTGGGGCCTGGACTCCATCCGTTCTACCTCCCAGTGTGGCCACGCTGTCCCCCGCACCCTGGCCAGCAGGGCCCTAAGGGTGGTGGCAGAGCAGAATGGAGGCCTGAGGCAAAGAGTGGCCAGCCTGCCCCATCTCACCCCACACTCCCGGCCAATCTCCCGCAAGCAGCTGACCTCCCACCCAAGCACAGTCCAACCCCAAGTCGGGGTTAAGGAGCACAGAGGCCACACAGCTGCACCCCAAGGGCCAGTCTGCCTCCTGGCACCCCTCCCCATCCCACCGACAGAGCTATCTCACCACCAGTGCCCACGCGGGCCATGGTGGTCTGCAGGAACAGCCTGGGTGGAGTTCCCGCCTTGGCCCTGCCCTGCTGGCTGCTGTGTGACCTTGACCGGCTCACATCTCTCTGATCCTCAGATGCTTTGGCACAAAGCAAGGGGGTTCAGCCAGGGTCCTCAGCCAGCTTCCCCCCACCGGCCCCGATCATCTGTCATTCTTCCATTCTCTTCCCTCGTGCCCTTGGCCGGCCCCTTTCTGCTGGGCACCCTTCCCCTTACAAAAGGTGGAGGGTCTCGGTGTAGAAACACCTCAACCTAGCACGGCCCCCTCTGCAGGCCTGGCCCGTGAGAGCCAGGCATGGCTGCTGCAGGTGCAGTGTTGGGCATTCTTGGGGCTCATCAGAGGAGCACTCAGGGGGACACTGGCCATGCAGGTGAGGGCCACTGCACTGGTGGCAACTATTGGGCATTGTGGGCTCCCCTGCTGACTGGCTAGGCAGGCCCTTCCATTGTGACTCTGCCCATTTCTGCCTGAGCCTCAGTTTCCCTGCCTGTAAAAGGAAAGGGTGACCTGGAGGAGCACTAAGGCCTCCCCTGCATTGTGGGTTTGGGAATCTGTCGCCCCCTCTGTCTTGCCTTGCATGCCTCTGGCTGGTGACATGAGCAGTGGGACCTGGAGGTGCTCCAGCTGCCTCCAAGGAGGAGTCCAGAGGGACCTGCCCCGGCCCGAGGAGCCGCGGCCCCAGGAGCTGCCTGCCGAGACCCGGGTATGCACAGGTCCACTCCCAGGCTCTCCGTCTGCCTGGAGTCCTGCCCCTCGGCCACTCCTGTGGGCCAGACCTGCCCCAGCCGTCGAGCAGTGAGCCCCCACCGCAGCCTGGCCACATGGCCCGTTTCTCATGCCCTGACCGGGTGCCTCAGCTCCGCCCAACACAGGACGCACTCAGAGCACTGTGTCTCCCTAATGTTTTCAGTGCCTGTTTTAGCCACGACATGAAGGATATGACACATGCCTGGGTGTAGCGGAGGGTTTACCCTGACAGCCCCTGAGGCTCCCGAGCACCCCGTCATTAGATGGGGAAAGGGTCAAAGGCTGAGGACCACAGAGCTGAGACTGCACCAGGGCCTTTCCGACCCACTGTGGGGTTCCTCCCAGGATCCCAGTTCCCGGTTCCCAGGGCCCCAGTCGTCACTAACTCCCTGGGCGGTGCTGAGCAGGTCCCCTGCAGCCCCCCAATCACTGACTCTTCGATTCCAGGTCATCCTGGGACTCAGGTCGGCAGGAGAGGAGGTGAGGGGACTGACCAAAGAGCCTCCAGCTGGAATGGACACTGCTGTCACCTACAAGCACCTGCTGGCCCCGCCTTCCGCAGCCCCACTGCCCACATTGGACCCCTCAGCCCTGCGCCCCCTGCTATGTTTGGGCCCTGAGGGGCAGCAGGTCAGGGGGCTGGGGTCCTGCAGCTGGTTTTAGGGAGCTCAGGGCCTGCAGGGCAGCCAGGTGAACCTGAAACAGGAGAGTGACATGGGGGAAGTGGGTAGGAGTCGGGTGGGGTTTAGGGGCCAGGACTCTGGGGAGGCCCCGGCCGGAGCAGCCAGACGGGCCGTGGGCTGGCAGGTGGGAAGAAGCCGGAGGGAGGCACGGGGCTGGGTGCCGTGGGAGAGGACCCAGAACCAGGTGGGGGGCTCCTGGAGGGATTCCAGCAGGGGTGAGGCATTCTCTCATTGTTCCTGAAATGCCCACCTCAAAAACAGGCAGGACAATAGGGGGATAGGATGTTGGGGAGTCCCCAGGCCCCCCAACTCTTCCCGCCTCTTTTGGGGCGCGCCATTCCGGGGACTCCTTGACCAGTTCTAAAGGAGTCGGGGCCCACTAAGGGGGAGACAGGCCAGGACACCTGGTTTCTCTGGGCTGCAGCCCTAAGGTGCAGGGCGCCCCTGACCGCCTGGGGCAGGGATCCCCAGACCTCGCGAACACCGCCCCCCCGCCCCCGCTTTCCAGCCCCAGCGGGGTCCCTGGGGCGGCGCAGAAGGCGCAGGGTCGGTTGCGCCCCTTTGCTGGCCCCGGGTCACAGCCCTGTCGGCTCTACAGGGCCCGGCTCCGGGCGCGCGGTGCGGAGTGTGCGGGGACGGAGCCGACGCGCTGCGGTGCGCGCACTGCGCGGCCGCCTTCCACTGGCGCTGCCACTTCCCCGCAGGCGCCAGGCCCGGGTGAGTGCGGCGGCGGGGGAGGGCGGGCGGCGTCCCCCGCGGCTCCGGGAGAGACCCCTCCAACCCCCTGGCCGAGCCGGGGCAGCCCGCAGCCTGTCTTCTGCTCTGCGCAGGGCCGTCCTGCGCTGCAGAGCCTGCTCCGGAGACCCCGCCCTGGCTCCGGCCCCGGGGGAGGGGGTGCCCGCCCCGAGCTCCGCTCGCCAGGCATCCGGGCCCGCCAAGGTCAGTGCCGCTGCTGGGAAGGGGGGCCACGTGGGGTTGGGAGGTGGAGGGCGCCCATCGCGAGGGGAGGCTCCCGCGCCAGCCTTGCGGGTTCGCACTATATCCCCAACCATGTGGTCCTTATTTATATGCAGTGTTTTTGTTTAAATCAACTTTTTTGGGGGTTAACCTATTTAAAAAGGAAAGCCGCCTAGTCTGTGGCCAGAGCGCCCCTCTCCCAGCCCGGGGAATGCCGTGCAGGGGGCTCCGCTGCCCGGGGTGGGGGGTGGGGGGTGGTGGAGAAGCCCTTTGATGTGACTGCAGGAGAGCTGGTTTCCACAAGCCTGGAAGTGGGGTGACCGAGTGAGAGGAAAGGAGGCCCCGCACTGGGGATGAGGAGCACACCCGATGACCCAGGGTGACAACGCCCCCCCCCACCCCACCCCGTGTAATCTCACCGAGTCTGGTCTTACCCCTGTTCAGGTAAGAAAGCCCAAACCTGTAGAGAATTTGTATAAAAATTTATTTGAGGCAAACAGAAGATATGCCTCAGAAGTAAGATCTCAACAGATTGAGACAAACGCTTCTGACAGTTACAATTTCTTTTACGCCTGAGATTGAGGAGGGGCGGTAAGGAAGATTACAGGAGGTGGGGGCCAGCAAGGCCAGGACCGCAGATGGTTAAGATGATCTGCTCGCTGGAGGGTGGCTAAGTCATAGTAGGAGCGTCTAAAAGGCATTTCAAAGGCGTGTGAACCCAGACACGGGGACAAAGGGCAGGACTGGCTCAAGGCCAAGATGAGCCTTTTACTAAAGAAGTCATATGCCTGGGGCGAGACTTCCCGCCAGGACCTGCCCAGTTAGGAAGTTATGATGAGATCACTTGTGAGGTTACTTTCCCTAGAACTCCTCCGCTGACACCCCCATCCACCCCATACAGCCGCATCCTGCCGCCAGGAGCCCCCCAGGAGTTACTCTCCACTCTCACTTAGCCAAGGCCCCGGCTGCCAGTGGCCGGCCGTCATCCAGGGCTCCCACACAACCTGAGGAGGGGGGTCCCGTGTGTCCCCCCGCCAGGAGCCCCCATAGCATGGCGCCTCTCGCCCTGGCTGCCCTATGCAGAGGCCTTCCTGACCACACCCCTGCCCCAGAGGAATCTTTGGGGGCCCTCGGGGGGTGACAAACCCTACCCCCACCCGTGCCCATCCTGCTGCTTAGCTGAGCCTCATGCTTCCAGGCACATGTGTGGGAGACAGGGCACCCCAGACACTGCATCAAGGCCCTGCCCACGAGGGGGCTCCCAGGGACCAGCGGCTGGAAGCCTCTCTCAGCGTCCCCACCCAACTGCCCTGTGTGTGCCCAAGCCCCCTGACATGGCTTCTCCTCCATGAAGCCTTCCGGGAGGTCTCCAAGGAGGGGGTGCCTCCCTCCAGAAGAGGCTTACTTTATTGAGACCTGGGTTCTTTTAACAGCAAAGACCCCTTTCTTTTCATTTGATGTAAAATGTAATGCTGTTTTGGAGTAACCAGTGGCAGCCCCCTTTGCCCCTCCTCCGGCCCCCTTCCCAAGGCGTGGTCCCGTGACTGTGGGTGTGGCCCCCTGACCTTTCCGGCAGCCTCTGCTCACCCTGGGGCTGTGTTCCTGCTTCCAGCACCTAGGGGCTGGTGGCCCCAGGCAGGGCCTGTGTTTATCAGACCCAACCAGCTGGAGGTGCTGACATTTGGCTGTTCTGAGCTACAAACCCGGCAATTTCATATGGCTCCACTTAGAATAGCCTTCTGTCACCCCTCCTGGCTGGAGCCCGATTCCCCGCTCTGGCCCCTCGCCCAAGGGCACGGTTGGCCCTGGCCATGCTTGTTGGCTGGTCGAGTGGCTGGCACCGGACCAGGCACTTTCCTCTCAGTTTTCCATCAGTGACAGCGTTCCCTGGGTCGCCTCACATTCCCCAGAGGGCCACACACAGTGTGTGGAGGCAGGGAGGCCTGGGGGCCTGGGGCGGCAAGCTTCCAGAGGTGCAGGGCCCTGGGCAGGTGCCCCAGCTCGCTCGTGCCCACCCTGCCTGTGCCCACCACCCCCAGAAGGAGCGAGGTGTTAAAATTCAGTTCTCAGACCCCCCCCATCCCCAGGGAAGCACCTGCAGCACCCCCACTGCCCTGGCACCAGCCACACACCCCAGCTCCTGTTGCCTGGGCGGGGAGTCCTGCTGCCATGAGATGGCCACAGTGAGGGGGGGGTGCAAATTGGGTTGACCTCCCTCCTCTCCTGCGTGCCAGGCAGGGGACGATGGTGCCGGTCATGAGCCTGCTCTGCACCGGGATGACCTGGAGTCCCTCCTGAGCGAGGTAACGTACCACCTGGCCGGGCCTGCACCTGTCCTCCACCTCCTCCTGTACTGCTCCCCCCTCTCCTGCCTGAGGCAACCAGCACCTTAGCCACTACCAGGGGGACTAGGACACCTGGCTCCAGGCACTCCAAGCAGCAGAGAGGCATGTGCTCCAGGATGGCGCTGATCTCACACACACGCACACGCACACGCACACGCACACGCACACGCACACGCAGGAGCCCGCAAATGCACTGAGGGGGCCCTGAGCTGCTCCCCCTTCTAGCCCGCCCAGAGGTCCCAGGGCCTGGACCCAGTGGGGGGCGTTGCTGCAGAACCAGCACCAGGGCCCCCAAAGTGTGACTTGGAGGCCACGACTTTCCCCAGTATGGGGTGGGCACCCGAACCTGGGCCCCTTGTGGATCTGTCACTCCTCGACCCAGGCCTCTAGCCCGAAGACAAGCAGCTATGTGGCTTTTAGGGGCCTCATCTTCTGTCGATAGGAGGCCCGCTCCCCCAGCCGTTCCCGGACCCCGGGCCCCTAGCGCCCCCGCTCTGCTCTTCCCGCAGCACTCCTTTGAGGGCATCCTGCAGTGGGCCATCCAGAGCATGTCCCGCCCGCTGGCCAGCGAGGCGCCCACCTTCCCCTCCTGATCCAGGGCCACCGCAGCGCCGGGGGAGGGGCACGGGCGGACCGGGAGTGCCCACTCATGCTCACAGTGACTCTGCTGTGAGAGGGGCAGGGGCCACGCTCCCGCACCCCCGGAAGTGTCCAGGTTAGGGCCAGGAGAACTGGAGAGCTCCAAGTGCTGGCAATACTGGCTCGTAAACAGCCTGTCTGCGGTGACACAGGGCCATAGTGTGTGCTGAAATTAAAGTCGCTTCTGTGTGGTTTTGATGTACTCTCCAGGGGGGGTGTTTATTCTGGGATGTCTGAACCCCTGCGTTTCTGGTGCCTGGCGTGTCAGCTGGCTGGGAACTGGCCGTAATGGCAGAGAAATGCTGTGAACAGGAGTCACCGGGAGAGGAGACGCGGCATCACGCCCCACTCTGCCTGGAGCAGCCTGTGCCTGAGGCCCACCCACCTCTGCCTCTGGCCCACAGTGCCCTGCCCCTCCCTGTCCCTCAAAGGACCAAGCTCACCCCCACACCAGGGCTTTGCCCCCCTGCGCCCTCTGCTCCGATGTCCTTCCCTTGGTGCTTCGCAGTCTGTTTTCTCCAGAGCTCGGTTCCATGCCCCGCCTCATTCATTCATTCATTCATTCATTCATTCACGGAAGCGTCCTATGGATGCTCTGTGAGCCAGGCATGGGGTCCAGAGGGACATTCCAGTGGAAGGACAGATCACACACAAGAGGCTGGTAGCCTCAGGCAGGGTAATGACGGTTGTGAAGCAGGAGGCAGGACAAGGGCCGGGTCGGGAGTGTGTTGGCGAGGGGCCGGTGTGTCTGTGGACGTGCGGGGGTGGGCGTGGGGGGGGGCAGAAAAAGACAATACTCTGGATGCAGTTAGACTCAAGATAGTGAAACAGCCTGGCTCTCGGCTGGTTACCTGAGCCAGGCTGGACGTGCGCCTCACATGCCTGTCATCTGACTGCTGACCTGCTGGTCTGAGGACACTTTGGAGCAGCTACACCTCCATTAATTCTTGTGGGTCTCTGAGAGCGCCCTGGGAGGTGGGCAGGGGTCCCAGGGACAGGCCACTCAGAGGGACCATGTGTATAAAAAGAGAACGTATGTATATGCATATAGATATAAGTATGCATGTGGACGTGTGTATATGCATGTGCACATGTGTACATACTTGTGTGTATAGAAAGATATGGGAAGGAGACACTGAACAGTGCGCAGTGTGTTTAGAGGGGATTCCGCACAAGAGACAGGAATATCCTTGAATCTGACCAACCTAAAAGGACAACAGTCCTGGGGGGCTCCCCCAACAAATGCCCCAGCAAGCCCACCTACAAGGCTCAATCCCCGTGAGTCCTTGTCACGGTCAGAGGTTCTGCCCACTCCCCGACTGAATGCCTACCTAGGGTCTCGGACCTGCCCGCACCCAGCCTGCTGTCCATGGCGTGTCCCCAGGACTTGGGCGGGCACTGCTCACATCTTCCCCTGAAGGGGCTGCCAGTGGCTTTAAAACAGGTCGGCACATTCTTGGATATTGGTCTCTCCCAGAGGTGGGGCTTTGTTCTTCTCCCTTTTCGCGTGGGCTGGACTTAGAAACTTGCTTCTTATGAGTAGAACTGCTGGACTGCCGTGTGACTCCCGAGTTTAGGTCACCCAAAGCACTGTGGCTTTTCCCTGGATCGCTTGCTCTGGGGGAAGCCAGCTGCCATGTTGTGAGGACGGGCACCACCTCAGAAGCACCTCCTCCAGCCCCAGTCGAGCCTTCAGTGGTGCAGCCCCCCAGGATCTTGACTGCAGCCCCGAAAGAGACCCAGAGCCAGACACCCAGCGGAGCCACTCCCAAGCCCCGACCCTCAGAAGCCACGAGATAAGACACGGTTCTTGCTGTCTCGGGCCCCTAAGTTTGGGGTACTTTCTTACATGGCAGCAGGTATCCTGTGTCGTCAGCTCTCAGGGAAATGGGCCAGACCGTGGCCAGGGCCCGTCTGTCTTCTCTGAGAGCCTCCATCCAGTGGGTACGGCAGCCTTTCCTTGCCCGGTGACGTTGTGTTTGCACTTAGCTTTTCATGACGAAACCATGTATTTTTAAGAATACACACAGGCACACATACACACATGATAAAACCAGAAGAAAAACAAGAAAACACAGCAGCACTTTGGTTACTCCAGGGGTGACACATGGTTCCTTACTCATGCCAATTAAACCGGACATGGCACATGTTCCTCCTTATGTCCGTACATGTCCCCGTGAGAGAATGAGTGGTTCGCATTCACTCACCATTTCCTGCGCCCCCCGCCCTCCCCTTGCCAATCCCAAATATTTTACAAAATGCAACATTGTATTTTGGGGGAAAAATATAAAAAAATGTTTTCTCTTGCCTCCTTTATTTATAATCATTATGTAATTATGACTGATAAGAACACTTTACATAAGATCTTCCCTCATAGTGAGGTTTAAGTGTACTCCAGAATTACTAACCACAGGTATGTGCCGGACAGCAGAGGCCGGGATTCTCTCACCTTCCAGGGCTGAAACCCGCCCTCTGACTAATAGCTCCGGCTCTCGCTCTCCCACAGTGGAACCTTCGTACGTAAACATTTTATCTGAGCATAATATATAAAGAGACAGGCACAAACCATAGGTGGCCAGCTTGAATCGTCCTAAAGCAAACACACAGGTGTCACCGCTGGGCTCCCTTAGCCCTGCCGCCCCACCCCACGCCCCCTAGTGGCTGTCCCGGCCTTCCCCACCCACCGCCAGCCCTAAGTTGGGGCTCCCTGGGATGGACGCCTTTCCTCCCAGCCTTTGATTTGGTTCACGGGGACTCCCGCATCAGTGACCAGGCACACTGACCGCCAGGGATGGGTCTGCTCTGCTGCCTGCACTGGGTCCCCACTGGAGTGGGGGTGAGGGGGACACCTAGCTCAGAAGAAAGCCTCCATCACTCAGCCTGACGGATCCATCCAAGGTAGAGGCCACTGTCCTGCCACAGTTCCTCCACCCCCCACCTCACCCCCGCTGCCGACTGTGCAAAAGTTTTCCAAGGGTCCAGCAAATATGTACTGAAGTCCTGAATAAATAAATGCCAGCTGGCGTTCGCCTTAATCCCATCCCACACCTTAACAAGCGGCCCCTCCGTGGACCCCCAGCTGAAGCTGGAGGCCAGCACGGTCTTCAACGGGCGTGAGGGCAACTGGAGGCCTCCGCAGTGAACTTGAAAAACAAAGTCAAAATTGTTCCAGGCCGAGGGATACAAATGCTGCGCGTTGCTAACGAGGGTCAAGCCCTTTCTAAGGCCTTGAAAAGCTCCGAGGGGTGGATGTGAGAGCGCCTGGACGATCGTGAGACGCCCTGTCAACAAACAGACGCTTTTGTTAGGTCGCACAGGTTTAGACACTTAAAACGGCCGCCCATCCCCTCGTCGGCCAAGGTCGCAGATCCCCACCAGTGCGGTTGTCGAGGGTTCAGGAGCCCCACACGCGCCCGGAGACCCCGGGGCCTTAGGGACAGCCTCGGGCCACTCGGAGCGGGGGCGCCGTACACCTCCCCCGTCGCGGTACCCCACGTGCGGCCGCCCCACCGGCGTGGGCAGCGGCGAC